CGACAAAATCCTGAGCCACAGAGTTTGTGACCCACGAGGAGCCCTAAAGATCGAGTTCCTGATCCGCTGGAAAGACCGTACACCCACCGAAGACAATTGGGTTCCCCTGGACAGAATCGAAAACCACCCTATTCTCACCGAATATCTGCGCAGCCGACACTTCAGGGACGTCCACGCACTTTCGTAAGGAGGACCTCCTTAGGAGGTGGGGTAGTGTAAGGAAAATCACTTTTCCTTCTTCGCATCCCTGCTCAACGCGTACATCACTATAGCACCACAGTCAGCACCGTTACCACTCGCGACCCTCGCATTGACAATCAGCCCGCCAATTTCGCACATCGCACCCCAACCGCACAGCTCGGCTGATAACCCGCGCTCCGGGCCTCCGCTTCGACACTTTCCCAAACCTCAGTCCCAGGCCCGTCACGCGACAACCACAGTCCATTACCGTTACCACTGTAGTTTCGCTATATATTCTTTGCTCATGCCTTCGCTCATTGGATTCTTGCTTTGATAGTGCAATTCTCGTTCATTTACTCAATTGCACTCGTAACAGTCATCTTAATATGAAGTATGTACAGTGGCAGTTGTGCAATTCAAGTTTGCCTTAGAAATTGTTACGAGTGCAATTGAGTGATCGAATGAGAAGTGCACTATCGAAGCAAGAGTACAACGAGCGAAGGCATGAGCGAAGAATATATAGCGAAACTACGGAGGTAACGGTAATGAAATGTGGTTGACGCGCGACGGTCCTGGAATTGAGCTTGGGAAAAGGTCGAGGCGGAGGCCCGAAACGCGGGTTACCCACCGAGCCGTGAGGTCGGGGTGCGACGTGCGAAGGTGGCGGGAGGATTGCCGATGCGAGGTTTGCGAGTGGTAACGGTGCTGACTGTGGTGCTACAGTGGTGTATGCGCTGAGCAAAGACGCGAAGCATGGAAAGGAATTTTCCCTACACTACCCCCTGTTAAAAGTTAGAAGAAAGAAAGGGGGTTGAACTAGCAAGAATGAGGATACAAATAGCAAACCCTAGAAGGGTTGTACTCGCTATAGAGCACCCCACTACAGGCTAGAACAATAAGATAATATTCTGACACACCCCCATAGCCAAAGTGGGGTGTAATCAGCAGAGTAGGCAAAGCAAAACAAGCTCAGGGTGGATCACAATGTCACCACACATTCTGAGCACAAGTTCAAGAAGAAATAGTTTAGAGTTTACAATTATAAGCAAAGCTAGTGGTAGTCACAACGGGCAAGTGAGGAGGAGGAGGGAGAGTGAGGGGAGAGGAGACAGGAGGCGACGGCTGAAGCTGCAGACACACGGGCAACAGGAGGCAGACTGGCACAGCGGCTACCGGACAGCGCCCGGACTACAGGGGTAACAGGCCCCGCGGCTCAAATAGCGGCGGACGGGCAACGGACCCACGAGCGGCTGGCACAGCTGGCTACGACTGGGCTACCGGGACAGCGCCCCGGACTACAGGTGCTGCTGACGACAAACTGGCAACCTCCGCTCATCCTCCCGCACACAGTCCCACCCCCCTGATACACACCCACTGCTACACCACTAGCTCTACTCCCACGCACCCCCCTAAAACCCTAAACCCCAGTCTCCCACACAACCAACCCCCTCAGCGACAGCTGCAGCAGTGGGAGACGAAGGAGGAGGAGGAGAAAGGGAGGAAGGCACACCGGCCACCCCCATACCCGCCACCCCACAGCGGCCCCCGAAGGAGCCGCGACGGGCGACGGGAAATGGGGGAAGGGGAGAAGGGGGGGGGGGGGGGGGGCCACCACGGACCTGAGGGGAGGGCGGGGCCGCGACAAGGGGCGGGGCCGCGACGAGCGGGGCGGGGCCGCGACGGTCGGGGCGGGGCCGCGACGGAGGGGCGGGACCGCGAAGGTAGGGCGGGGCCAAGCCGGGCAGGCGCACGGGCGGCGACAGGTCGGGGCCGCGAAGGTAGGGCGGGGCCGCATAGGGTCCGGGGCGGGGCCGCGACGTAGGGCGGGGCCGCTTCGAGGGGCGGGGCCGCGACGCAGGGGCGGGGCCGCGACGAGGGGCGGGGCCGCGACGGTCGGGGCGGGGCCGCGACGGAGGGGCGGGACCGCGACAGGTAGGGCGGGGCCAAGCCGGGCAGGCGCACGGGCGGCGACGGGCCGGGGCGGGGCCGCGACGAAGGGCGGGGCCGAGCCGGGCAGGCGCACGGGCGGCGACGGGCCGGGGCGGGGCCGCGACGTAGAGGAGAAGCCCGCCGCGCGCCCCGGGGCGCACAGCGGGCAATGAACCGCCGCGCGCCTCGGGGCGCACGGCGGGCAGAAAACCGCCGCGCGCCTCGGGGCGCACGGCGGGATGAAAAAGTAGCAGCGGAAGCAAGGTGGGGACACACCCACAGGATCGATCCAAGGGGATCGACCTGCTCTGATAGCATGTGAAAAGTTAGAAGAAAGAAAGGGGGTTGAACTAGCAAGAATGAGGATACAAATAGCAAACCCTAGAAGGGTTGTACTCGCTATAGAGCACCCCACTACAGGCTAGAACAATAAGATAATATTCTGACACCCCCCCCACTAAGGAGGCCCTCCTTTATGAAAGTGCGTGTACATCCCGAAAATTTCGGGTGCGCAGATACTCGGTGAGGACAGGGTGGTTTTCGATTCTATCCAGAGGAACCCAGTTGTCTTCGGTGGGTGTACGGTCTCTCCAGCGGATGAGGAATTCGATCCTTCGAGCTCCTCGTGGGTCACGAACTCGGTAGCTCGTGTCATGCTAGCTGGGCGGTTATGGGGCAGGTCGCTGGTGGATGGTACGTAGGGGCGAAGCAAGCTGACATGGAAGGACGGGCTGACGTACCAGTCAGCAGGGAGGAGGAGATGGGCGGTGACGGGTGTGATCATGTGGCTGATGCGGAATGGCCCACAATATCGAGGGCGGAGTTTCGGAGTAATGAGTAGGCGGAGGTTCTAGGTGTCGAGTAAGACTAGGTCGTCAGGCTGGTAAGTGACAGGTCGCCAGTGGCGGTCGGCGTTGCGTTTAGCGATGATGTTCGAAGTTTTATTTGCGCCTGCTGCCCGGGTCCGTGCTGCTTGTAAAAATTCGGCGAACTGTTGCGCTCGTGATGGCAGAGGTCCACTGTATCAGTAGAGCTATACTGTGAGATCCCCGATCGATCCTAGGGGGGCTACATGCGCGTTTGCCTGGGGGGTTATGGGCGCACTGACCCGCTACTGAAACAAGCCCTTTTATCCCAATGGTCCAGTGGTTGGGATTCTGACATGGTATCGGAGCGGTCTCGGGTTCGAATCCCGGTGTATGCACATGTTGGCTGTTGCCACTGTGCTTAGTCCTGGGCCTCCCAGTGTGGGGGGGTGTCAGTAGAGCTACACCGGAGATCCCCGATCGATCCTAGGGGGGGCTACAGGCGCGTTTACTTGGGGGGCTATGGGCGCACTGACCCGCTACTGAAACAAGTCATTTTATCCCAATGGTCTAGTGGTTGGGATTCTGACACACTGGTGATCCCCGATTGATCCTAGGGAAGGGTTACAGGCTCGTTGTCCTTGGGGGATATGGGCGCACTGACCCGCTACTTAACAAGCCCTTTTATCCCAATCGTCTAGTGGTTGGGATTCTGACAAGGTATCAGAGCGAAGGTCTCGGGTTCAAATCCCAGTGTTTGCACTTCGGGCATCCCAGTACGGGGGGGTGTCAGAGGTCCACTGGTGATCCCCGATTGATCTTAGGGAAGGTTTACAGGCTCGTTGTCGTAGGGGGTTATGAGCGCACTGACCCGCTACTTAACAAGCCCTTTTATCCCAATGGTTTAGTGGTTGGGATTCTGACACGTGACACCGGATAGTCGGGATTTGGGGTCATGGGTATGTCAGGCTTATATGACTTAGCCTATATGGCTATAGTGGGGTAGCACATATGGGGTACGACACATTTCTAGGTTTTGTACTTGTATCCAACTCTCCCTTAGTCATTTCATTCCTCCTTTCTTATCATGGTATCGAGCAGGTTCCCTAGTGGGAACGCTACCTAGGGCCCACCACGATATATTTTTTTTCCTGCCCGGAGCGCGCTTCACTCCTGCCCGAGTCGCGCTCTGTGTGCCCTCCCTACCTTCGCGTCGCCCTTAGTGGCCCCTCTTACGGCCCCTTACGCCGCCCTTACGGCCCCTCGCGCCGCCCTCTACGGCCCCTCGCGCCGCCCTTACGGCCCCTTACGGCCCCTCGCGCTGCCCTTACGGCCCCTTACGGCCCCTTACGGCCCCTCACGCCGCCCTTACGGCCCTCGCGCGGCCCCTTTCGGCCCCTCGCGGCGCCCTTACCGGCCCCTTACGGCCCCGTCGCCGCCCCGTTTAGGCCCCTTGCGGCCCAGTCTAGGCCCCTTGCGGCCCCTCTGCGGCCCCGTCTAGGCCCCTTGCGGCCCCTCTGCAGCCCCTCTGAGACCCCGTCGCCGCCACCTGCGGCCCCGTCGCCGCCACCTGCGGCCCCGTCGCCGCCACCTAGGGCCCCGTCGCCGCCAACTACGGCCACTCAACCGCCACCTGCGGCCCCGCCGCCACCTGCGGCCCCTTCGCCGCCACCTGCGGCCCCGTCGCCGTCACCTGCGGCCCCGTCGCCCTCCCCTAGCGGCCACGTCACCGCCTCTACCGGCCCTGTCACTGCTCAGCCGCCCAGCGACCGAGCCGCCGAGCAGCCCAGCAGCTGAGCCGCCCAGCAGCCGCGCCGCCCAACAGCCGAGCCGCCCACCTGCCGAGCAGCCGAGCCGCCCAGCAGCCGAGCCGCCCAGCAGCCGAGCCGCCGAGCAGCCGAGCCGCCCACCAGCCAAGCCGCCGAGCCGCCCAGCAGCCGAGCCGCCCAGCAGCCGAGCCGCCCAGCCACCGAGCCGCCGAGCCGCCGAGCGGCCCTATTGTCGAGCCGCTGCTGTTCCTACCGGTGCGCCCCGGCCCTCCTTCCTCGGACTAGTGAGCTCACTCCCTACTAGGCCACTGCAGTCATGGATACCCCCAGTGTCCTTACTTTTGATGCTGAGGGCCGTGCCGTGACTTTGAGGTCTGGGTCAATGACCTCCAGCTGTTTCTCCAGTGCGATAGGGCAGACGGACTCTCTCTGTTCGATCTCACCTCTGGTGTCTCTCCCGCCCTGCCTGCTACTGCAGACAGCACTGTTCGCTCACAGTGGGCCACACGCGATGCTGCTGCTCGCCTTGCTGTGCGTCGCCACTTACCGACCGCTGAGCGTGCGCACTTTAGCCAGTACAAGAGTGCTAAGACCTTGTACGACGCTGTAGTTGCAGGCTACTCCTCCCCTGCCACTGCTGCTCTTAGCCGCCTCATGCTGCCGTACATGTTCCCTGACCTTGCTGCCTTTCCCATAATTGCTGACCTCATAGCTCACCTTCGCACTAGTGACATTCGCTACCGCGCTGCGCTTCCTGCTGAGTTCTGTGCCAAGAACCCCCCCCCCCCCATGTACATCACCCTCTACTACATAGTCACCCGCCTCCCTGACTCCCTTCGCTTAGTCAGGGACCACTTCCTCTCAGTTTGCCCCACCACTCTCACCGTCGATCTCCTTGAGGAGCGCCTCCTAGCAGCAGAGAAGAGCATAGTCGCTGTAGGAGCCTCTCGTGGTGACCCTCACACCCTCGTCTTTGAGGGGTGTTCCCCCTCCCCCCTCTTGCCCTCTGTTGCCTCTGCTGCTGCGGCCGACCTCGTTGGTTTCGAGTCGGTCGGCGCTGCGTCTGCCCCGAGCGGGAGACACCGCACCGGCAAGGGCAAGGGGGGCAACGGCGCTGGAGGGGCTGGCGGGGGCGGTGGAGGTGGTGGTGGAGGCAGTGGAGGGGGTGGGGGTGGTGGTGGGAGTAGTGGTGGGGGTGGAGGTGTCGGTGGCAGCAGTGGAGGCGGAGGAGGCGGCGGCGGTGGCGGAGGGAGCGGAGGCGGCGGAGGTGATGGAGGCGGCGGAGGCGGCGGAGGTGGCGGAGGCGGCGGCGGGAGCGGTGGACCTGGTCGTGGCTCTCCGCAGAGGAGTGGCTCCGGTGGTGGTACGCGCCAGCAGCAGCAGCGCAGTCGTGAGACCCTATCCCCTCAGCAGCTTCGTGACTGGTACGCTGCGCGTCAGCGCGGTGGGGGTACGGGTCCCTGCACCTACGTTCTCCGTACCGGTGACCGCGCTGGTGAGCAGTGCGGGGGCCCGCACTCCACCCAGCACTGCTTCGGCCGCCTGACGGACGCGTGGCGTCACCAGTTCCCTGAGGCCTCTGAGATCCCTCGCTGGGGAGAGCTGTCTAGGGCGGGGGTTGCTATCTTTGATCTTGATTTTGATGCTATTCTTGCTGCCATGCATGCTGTTTCTGATAGTGTTGAGGGTGACTGTTACCTGTGTGTTCCGCCTGACCCGGGCATTGAGACTACTGCTCTAGGTGCTGGTGAGGCTGCTCCTCTAGGTGCTAGCGCGTCTGCTGCCCCAGGTGCTGGCGAGTCTGCCCTCTCAGGTACCACGTCGGCTCAGGCCTTACACACCTTCACCCTTGACTCGGGTGCTTCCCGCTCCTTCTTTCGGGACCGCACCACACTTACGCCGCTCAGTCGGCCGGTTGCGGTCTCCCTGGCGGACCCCTCTGGGGGTCCTGTCCTTGCTCGCTTCTCCACTGTCTTACCGTGTCCGGCAGCCCCCTCTGGCACCTTGTCAGGTCTCTACCTCCCCTCGTTCTCTACGAACTTGGTGAGAGGAGCTGATCTACAGGATAGGGGGGTTGACCAGTTCATTCCTGCGAGTCAGCGGGTGACCCACTGCACGTGTCCTACGTCTCCACTACCGTCACTCCGTATCTCGGACTCAACATCCGCGAAGAAGAAAACGCGATCCACCTCAGCGCCGAAAAGTATGCCGACACCATCGCCAAACGCTTCGCGCTCACACCCGCTACTATCTCCACGCCATACCGCTACACGGCAGGGAACGACAAAGGAAGCTCCGCCTTACTCAAAACCGTCGGAATACGCGACTACCAGCGAAAACTGGGCTGCCTCCTCTTCGCAGCCGTCACCTGTCGGCCAGACCTGTCCTACTCCGCAAGTCAACTTGCTACCTATCTCAAGAGGCCCGAAACAGAACACCTAGCGGAACTCGACCGCGCTCTTCACTATTTCGTGAGCACCGCAACGATCGGCCTGACGTACTACAAAAACACAACTACGCCGACGAAACTAATCGGCTACGTCGATGCCGATCACGCCGGCGACTCAGATAACAGGCGCTCCCGCACTGGCTACATCTACCGCCTCGAACCTATCGGACCTATCTCCTGGCAATCGAGCAAGCAGGAACTAATTGCTCTCTCTTCAGCTGAAGCAGAATATATCGCCCTCTGCTCAGCCACCAAGGAAGGACTCTACCTTCGCGAGCTGCTGGAAGAAGCGAAGTTAGCCGAGTTACCCAACTTCACCTTGTTCTGCGACAACCAATCTGCAATTCGCATCTCCAACAAGAGCGGATTCGCGAACAGAACGAAGCATATCGCCCTGCGATACTTCTTCGTGAAGGACGAGATCGAGAAAGGGAAACTTAAACTATCCTACTGTCCCACGTCCGAGATGGCAGCTGACTACTTGACCAAGAAGCTCGGAAAACAGAAGTTCGAGTACTGCATGCTGCTGACTGGACAAAGCCACGTCACCATCAGCGACACTCCAGAAGCGAAGGGGAGTGTTGGGAACAAATAGTTTAAGCGCCTCTGTCGTGTCAGAACTCAAGACACAAGCGAAGCAGCTCAAATCGAAGCATCGCGAGTCAACCCTCGGAAGTTAACGTAACCGCTGGAGGTTACGAGAAAGTCAAAGGTCAGCGACCTTTGACCTGACGCAGCGCGACAACAAGGACACACAACTGACTCGACATCGAGCAGTTGCCCGAGTCGCACTATATCGAACCGCAACAGTAAAGTAGTCATAATGTCTCTTCATATTCTTTGTACTCATATATTTATTCCTGTATCTCTTTGCTTTAATCAACTTACTTTGCCCTCACATACTAGCGCAAGGTGGTTCAAGGACTTTATTCAACGCTTCCGCTATTACATCACTTACTCAGACTTTAACTCTACAAAGATCCTAGGGCTTTTCAGCCCAACAGGTGCGACCCTAGTCCTTTCCATGCCAGGCATCGAGGGGGCGGCGCCATCACTGGCTGCGCCTCAGCGTTGTCCCACGCTGTCATTCTGTGTCGGTGTGCCTGATGAAATGATGATTGGCTCCTCCGATTGTGGAGGTGCATTTCCAGTTGCGCTGGAGTATTCACCGTGGATTGCTGACGCGTGGAGTTACGTTCCGCCTTGAGCGTCGTGTCAGAACATATATGTAGCTTATGCTGTTGTGTAGGCTACAGTGGGGTATACCATAGGGGGTACAACCCAATTAGGGTTTTGCTATTTGTACTCACTTCACTCATAGTTCATTCATTCTCGTTCTATTTTCCACATGGTATCGAGCAGGTTCCCCCGTGGGAACTGTGCTTAGGGCCCACCACTTTTAACCTTTTTTTCTGCCCGGAGCGCGCTCCGGGCCCTCGCTCTCACTCTTTCGGCCTGCCCTGCAGGCCCCTAGCCGCCCACGCGCCGCCAGTCCCGGCCCCTAGCCGCTCGCGCGCCGCCCGTTCAGGCCCCTAGCCGCCCGCGCGCCGCCCGTCCTGGCCCTCAGCCGCCCGCGCGCCGCCTGTCCCGGCCCCTAGCCGCTCGCGCGCCGCCCGTTCAGGCCCCTAGCCGCCCGCGCGCCGCCTGTCCCGGCCCCTAGCCGCTCGCGCGCCACCCGTTCAGGCCCCTAGCCGCCCGCGCGCCGCCCGTCCCGGCCCCTAGCCGCTCGCGCGCCGCCCGTTCAGGCCCCTAGCCGCCCGCGCGCCGCCCGTCCCGGCTCTCAGCCGCCCGCGCGCCGCCTGTCCCGGCCCCTAGCCGCTCGCGCGCCGCCCGTTCAGGCCCCTAGCCACCCGCGCGCGCCCGTCCCGGCCCCTAGCCACCCGCGCGCGCCCGTCCCGGCTCCTAGCCGCCCGCGCGCGCCCGTCCCGGCCTCACACCGCCCGTGCGCCGCCCGTCCCTGCTGCACGCCGCCGTCCCGGCCCCCCCCCACGCCGCCCGTTAGCCGCCGTGCAGCCTGAGCCGCCCGAGCCGTCTGCGCAGCTGAGGAGCCGAGCCGCCCGAGCCGCCTGTGCCGCTGACTGCCCGAGCTGCCCGAGCCGCCTGAGCCGCCCGAGCCGCCCGAGCCGCCTCCCCCCCCCCCCCCCCCCCCTTTTCCCGTCGCCTGTCGAGGCGACCTGAGGGGGCCGCTTGGGTGGCAGGTGTGTGGTCTCCCCTGCTTCTCCTCCTCCTTCGTCTCGAGTCGCCCTGCAGCCGAGCCGCCTCGCCGCCGAGCCGCTTTACACCCGAGCCTCCCAGCAGCCGAGCCGCCCTGCAGCCGAGCCGCTCTAGACCTGAGCCTCCCAGCAGCCGAGCCGCCCTACAGCCGCGCCGCCGGGTCGCCGAGCTGCCGAGCTGCAGTTGCTGCCGAGCTGCCCTGCCGCCGAGCCGCCCGAGTCGCCCGAGCCGCAGAGCCGCCGTGCTGCCGAGCCGCTGAGTCGCCGAGCCTACTCTACCCACCACTGGTGAGCCCCTGCCCTGCTAGCACGCTGCGCGTCGCCTGCTTGCCTGCCTGCCTCCCTTTTTGGCTTGCCTGACTGCCTGCCTTACTGCTGCTACTCCTGCTCCTGCCTCTACTGGTGGAGCCAGATGCGGCCCCATAGACGTCTGCGTGAGTCCCTCACGCCCCAGCAGCTGCGTGAGTGGTACGCTGGTTGGGGCTGTAGGGGTGGTGGCGCTACTACTGCTACCACTCCTGCTGCTTCTACTACTGGTGGCGGCCAGATGCAGCTCCCGCGACCCCCCCGCGCGTCTCTCACGCCTCAACAGCTTCGTGAGTGGTACGCTCAGAGTGGAGGGTCTCTCAGTTCTGTTCGCTGCTCTTACGTGATTCTCACTGGTGCTCGGACTGGTCAGCCTTGTGGGACACCTGGTCATACACAGTCCCGCTGCTTCGCCCGTCTGAGCGGCGCCTGGCGTACCGTGTTTGGCGACGAGGCTGAGCTCCTCGACTGGGTGGAGTTGCTTAGGCAGAGGGTAGATATATTTGCTCTTGACTATGATGCTATTCTCACTGCCATGTATGCATTGCCTACTAGTGCTGACCGTACCGGTCACCTGTGCGTACCGCCTGACCCGGGTATAGGACCTGCTGCTCTAGCTACTGGTGAGGCTGCTGCTGCTCTGGGTGCTAGTGAGTCTCCTGCTCCAGGTACAGGTGCGGCTGCTGCTCTAGGTGCTAGTGAGTCTGCTTCCTCAGGTGCGGGTGAGGCTGCGCTCTCAGGTACCACGTTGGCTTCGGCCTCCCTCACCTTTACACTTGACTCTGGGGCTTCTCGCTCCTTCTTTCGGGACCGCACCACACTCACGCCGCTTGGTCGGCCTGTTGCAGTCTCCCTGGCTGACCCCTCTGGGGGTCCTGTCCTCTCTCACTTCTCCACTGTCCTCCCGTGTCCGGCTGCCCCCTCGGGCACCCTGTCTGGCCTGTACCTCCCCTCGTTCTCGACGAACTTGGTGAGTGGTGCAGACCTGCAGGATGCGGGGGTTCACCAGTTCACTCCTGCGAGTCAGCGGGTGACCCACTGCACGGACGCACGCACAGGCCGGCACCTGGCCACGTTCTCGCGTCGGCCGGGGTCGAGCCTCTACACCCTGACCACTGAGTCTCCTCCTGTCCCTGCGTCCAGTCAGGTAGCAGCGTCAGGTCAGGTGTTTGGTGCTGCGTCCAGGTCTGGTCCTGAGTCTGCCCCCTGCTCGTGTCGCCTCTTGTCTCACGAGACTCTCCTGTGGCACCACCGTCTTGGCCACCCCTCCTTGCCCCGTCTTCGGGGCATGGCTTCCCGTGTCCTTGTCTCTGGTCTTCCCCAGTCTCTCCCTCCCCTTCCTTCGGGACCAGGACCTTCCTGTGTCCCCTGTGTCGAGGGGCGCCTCAGGGCTGCTCCTCACTCCTCCCAGTTTCCCCCGACAGAGGCTCCTCTGCAGACACTTCACATGGACGTGTGGGGCCCGGCCCCCGTCCGTGGGCAGGGTCACGAGCGCTACTTCCTGTTGGTGGTTGACGACTACTCGCGTTACACCACAGTCTTCCCCTTGCGCAGCAAGGGTGCTGTCATTGAGGTGCTGATCGACTGGATCCGCGAGGCTCGTCTCCAGCTCAGGAGGAGCTTCGGCTCGGACTTTCCTGTTCTGCGTCTGCACTCTGACCGAGGTGGGGAGTTCTCCTCTCGCCTTCTGCGAGACTACTGTCGTGCACAGGGGATCCGCCAGACCTTTACGCTTCCGGACTCTCCACAGCAAAATGGGATTGCTGAGCGCCGCATTGGCATGGTCATGGATGTCGCTCGTACGTCCATGATGCATGCGGCTGCCCCCCATTTTCTGTGGCCGTTTGCGGTTCGGTACGCGGCGCATCAGCTCAACCTTCACCCCAGGGTCTCTCGGCCCGCGATGTCCCCAGTGTTACTGTGGACGGGGAAGGTCGGCGATGCGTCTACGTTCCGTGTCTGGGGATCTCGGGCGTTTGTCCGCGACTTGTCTGCGGACAAGCTGTCCCCCCGTGCTGCTCCCTGTGTCTTCCTTGGCTTCCCCCCTGACGCTCCAGGGTGGCAGTTCTACCACCCCTCCTCTCGTCGTGTTCTGTCCTCCCAGGACGTCACGTTCGACGAGTCAGTCCCCTTCTACCG